TGAAGCATCTTTCAGCAGGGACCCATAGAAAAAGGGTCAAAAACAGCCAGACAAGTCTGGTAGAAAAGAGCAAAATCAAAACCAAAATAAAAGTTGCCAGTGTTAACCTCCCAATGGGTCTCTCACTCACATCTGTTTCAACCACTCCAGGATCAAGAAGCAAGTGCAGTTTCTTCACAGGTCTCTCTGCTCCATGTGCCTCCTCCATGTGCCTCCTTTAGGTCACGTCTTGCTCCACCCCCTGCTTAACTCTTCAGTCTCATTTCCAGCTGCTTGCTTCTTCTCCCTACTCAGCTCTACCCTCCTTTGTTTGGGTCAGGGAACCTGGAACGTCCCCTTTTCCTGGGGACCACCTGTTACATTTACTGAATATCCAGTTTGGAGGATATCAGGAGAGTCTGAATCAATGCTAGAAATTTCAGCTGGCAATAGAGCAGTTTGGTGTAAGCTTCCGATGGTCGAGTCTCCCACCCTGCCATTGTATGTCCTGTACCACAATATTTACTGCTTTAAATGGCTACTTTGGTTTGTGTAACTTGAGGCCTTGAATGTGGTTTGTTTGTCCTTAAAAGGAATAAAACTTTTCTGCTGGGTTTATAAAAAAAATCAACCCCAGACACTGTAGATCCCATTTCTGGTGGTACCCACCCATTCCAAAGGGATGGGGATGTATTTCAATGCTTCCTATAACAATTGTGGGCTGTGGTTGAGAGAATGTTAGTCTACCTGTTAGGGGAGAATTGTCTCCCTCCTGTGAGGCTTGGGTTTTGGCCTCTACAGGTAAAGTAACCATTTTCATATCTTCTTGAAAGAGATTCAGAAAGGATTGAAGACCCAAGGAAGCCAGAGGACTTTAAATTGAAACATAGTGGCTTCAATTCGATTCTGACTACTCAAGGGTAACAAGTATTTTTGAGGAAACAAATGAGGTGTTTTCTATTGACAGTAATAAGAACTCTCGTGTCCAGTCTGTGCCATTTATTGCTTTCAGTCACTAGAAACCAGAAAATTGCTGAAGCATACAGATGGTATGGGACATTTGGAGTTTTGCAGATCCAGTAACCTCAGTTGCCTCCTGGAGTAGGCCACCAGACCCTTATGTTTAGAAGCATGAAAAGGAGGGAGACAGAGAATGGAGATAATGAGGAGGAAAAAGAAGCTAATGAATAAGAATGAGAAAAAAGGAAAGAAAGAAAGAACACTCAGAGTGTTTCTTTCCTTTCCCACATCTGTATCTTTACAATCTTCAAAGGTTTCCATGGTGATGGGTTGCCTGGATTTCTGGCAAAATATAATAGGCAGTGTCTGTCCTCAGAAACCAATCCTGTCTCCCCCAATCTGTAATAAATGCTCCCAGGGTTTTTTATAGCCTCACCTGGACCATGAGGGGTGGGTCTGTGAGCGCCAAGTTTCCCTTGCCCTTTCTGAACTGTTACTAAGAAGAAATGACTACATAGTGTTAACAGCCTGCCTTCCTTGTTCCACCAAAAAAATGGTTGATTGTCTCCATTGCTCTTAAGAATATGGGCATTTATTCTGTTTTTTCCCCCTTCTCCTCCTTACTCTTTTCCAAGCTTCTTTTTCTCCTTCCTAGTTATGATCTATTTCCTGATCTGAAAAAAAAAAAAAAAAACCACATTGCTCTAATGCTTGACAAAATCAAGGAATAGCACTAAACAGCCTGCCTCCCTCTCCAATGAATCAGTGAACAATCACTCATGTGGATGGGATTGATTATATCCCCCTGGTTGTGATAGGCAGTGGGAAGGACAGCAAGTAACATCTCTATATAGAGAGTGACTGCTCTGTGTCTGAGGTGATGGCAGCCACTTTACAAACACCATTTAAGCCTCACAACAGCCCTTTAAGGGCATTAGTCTCATTTTACTGAAGCCACTAGTTTATGAATGTAGCAGCCGTCACATATGGATTTGCATGAACTTGGAAAGAATAGATTCTCCAAACACTGAGAAGGTAGATTTCACCTCTGTTGGTGGACTATCAGCACCACCTCTGGCAATAAAGAGAACAAAAATTAAAGAGAAAAATTTTTGAAGATGCAGAAAAGTAAAATGGTAAAATAAATTCATATGCCATCTTGATTTATGAAATATTGACATTTCTAGATCTCAAATAAGATCTCTTTGTTAAGGTAGTTTAAATTACAGACAATGACCCACAGGTAAGAGTAAGGGATGCCTGGGTTTACCAGGGGTTATCAATCTAGATTATCTTTAATCTAGATCACTGGTTCTCAAACTCACAGAATCATCTGAAAATATAGGTGCCTTTTTTAAATTACAGATTACTGGTCCCTGATTATTGTGAGATAGGACCCAAGGATTATTGATGCTGCTGGTCCTTGGACCACACTTCTGCCACCATTGGCCAAGAGTGGGGCTCTTCAAACTCCTTAACCTGCAAACCCCAGTGTGATATAAATTTACATCATGATGCAGATATATATATATATAATATATATAATATATATGTGCAGATATATTATGCAGAACAATTTTTCCCTTAGTATAATATAAAGCTCTTAAGTACTCTCTCTCTCTCTCTTTTTTTTTTAAGATTTATTTATTCAGGCCCTCCCTGGTGGTGCAGCAGGTTAAAGCACAGCACTGAGAAGCTGAAGCCACTTCCGCATGAGTTCGATTCCCGCCTGCCCCGGAGGTGACCACATGGCGTGGCAGACCTCTCCTGACCAGCCCCCTGCTCCCCTCAGCAATGTACTTTGTCCATCTGCCTGTTCTGCTCCCCCCTCTGTCTCTGGTGAAGCCTCTCGCCGCCTCTGAGCCTCTAGCCTGTACCCCAGTTCTGTATGAATAAATAAATAAATCTTTAAAAAAAAAGATTTATTTATTCATACAGAACTGGGGTATAGGCCAGAGATGCGGAGGGTGAGAGGATTCACCAGGGACAGAGTGGGGAGCAGAACAGGCAGATAGACGAAGTACACTGCTGAGGGCGGGTCAGGAGAGGTCTGCCTCGCCATGTGGTCACCTCCGGGGCAGGCAGGAATTGAACTCATGTGGAAGTGGCTTAAGCTTCTTAGTGCAGTGCTTTAACCTGCTGTGCCACCAGGGAGGGCCCTCTACTTTTTTTTAATAAGGGTCAAAATGAGTAAGTTTGCATTCAGAAAGTTTGGCACTATGATAATATGAGAAAATGTTCTTATTATCTTTGAGATACATATTATCAATAAGTTTTTAGAGATGAAACACCATTTACTGTAATGTAAGCTACCCTGGCAAAGAGAATAAATGAGATAAGTTCTGGGAGATGTTAATAATTGTTAAAATGAGGTGGTGTGGGCTGTTTTACTATTTGCTTTGCTACTTTTCTATGTGTTAAATTTTTTTCCTAAAATTTTTTCTTAAGAATGATTAAATCCATTGAATTGATTTTGCAACCCTAAGTCTTTCTCAATGCAGTTTGAAAAATACTGTGCAAAGATGAAGCAGAGAAAGTTAAGAGAGATGGTGAAGAGTAGGAAAGGAAGGAGTGGAGAAGAGAAAACAGACCAGAGAGCAGGTAGGGGTCACTGCAAACCCTCAAGATAATGTCCCTGGAAAGGACCTCTTCTATACAGCCCATTCTGCCTTCCTTCCTTCCCCATGGAACCCTGGGCTCTTTGTAGGGAAAATACCTTATGCACCTCAATAAACCCCATAGCCTCTGGGCAAAGCCCAGAATGAGAGAACACCTGAATCAAAGCCTCTAATTTTAAAAAGGTCTTGGATTTGCCCTGCTCAACCTCCAGTGCCACTTAATAAGACCAGCCTCTGAGTTGGGAGCCCAGTTTTTCTAATAGGCAAAATCCAGCTAAAGAGGTCACACCACGTGCTCTCTACTGCACACTCACAAGAAGTGAAAAAGTCAACAAGTAGCTCCCGCCATTCTGAGATTCCACTGTCATCTACTAGAAGCAGCTTATTCCCTTGGTATATGGGTGCATGTGAGTGTGCAGGGGTATGGGGGTAGAACAGCTGTCTCTCCCCCTTACATTTCTACTCCTCTCCTCCATATATGAACTTCTCAGTTTTACCTTTGTCACAATAGTGCATTTTCTTTATGGAACATGTTAGCAAACTGAAGACTAAAAAAAAAGTTACAAAAAGGTAGGCATGGACAACCGATCATAATTCCATCACCCAAGACAAAACCATTGCTATTCAAAAACTTTATTTGATGTATTATTTTCATTACGAGACTACAGGGCAGTTTTAGGTTTGCAGAAGAATTGAACAGAACAGTACAGAGAAACCCAGTACCTACTCTCCCCCCAGTTTTTCTTATCATTAATGCCTTGCATTAGTATAATTATAACTATATTAGTATAACATCTTCCATTAGGATAATTATTAGTATAATTAGTTATTATAATGTAATTAGTATAGTCATTGGTGGCCTATTGCAATATATACATTTATCAAATCAACACTGTTCTACTTCTTAAACATGCACAATGTTATTTATCAATTATATCTGGTTTTATAATAGTATTATAGAAAATGAGAAGTTCTAAAATTCAGTCATCTCGGTATTAAGGTAATTTAGAGAAGGAATTTTTTAATATGTTTTAACGGAATTCTCAAAAACATCATTAAATTGTGTATTTTTCTGCTCGCACCCTCTTTTCCTCCCCTTAGAGCCTCAAAAGATTAAAAGCCAGAGGGCTCCTCTCACTAGCGCCCATTGGACAAAGAACTCCTGGGATCACAGGATGCAACAAAGATCGGCCCCGGGGGCGGAGGGGCACGGGGAGGAGGGGGGAGAGGGGGGAGGACAGGGGGACCTAAGGAGGCTTGGGTAGAGGGAGGTGGAATCAGAGACCACACCTTCGTGGGCTCAGGGCCCGATTGGCCGATAGCCGCTGCTGACGCTCTGCTCTGCTCTTTGATTGGCTTTAGCAATGACGCCTCCTCCCGTGTGCCTCGCTTGGATTGGCTTATTTATTGGTTCAGACTTGGACGGTGGCCAGGGGAGGACAAGAGGTTTTTATCCTGAGTGGCAGGATGATTCGGTGACCTGAGAGACGCTACCGCACAGCTACAAGTCGAGGGGCTTCAGGAACGGGGCCGCGACCTCCGCGGTGTTGGAGATGTTGCTGATGGGCTGCGATGAACCGGTGGCCGCATCTACCCAATCCGCCCAGGTAACGGAGGGCGGATGGGCAGTTGCGTTCCTGCCCAGGGTCGAAGATGTTGGGTGTTTGTTTGGCCGTTACGAGCCCTGAGAGGTACAGGGGAACAGATTCAAGAGGGAGGAAGAGGACTGTAGCAAAAAATCTGCTGGTCAGGTCTTCTGCTTTCAGACTCATGTCTGGGAGGGAGCGCTCCTATTATACCCAGTCCTACCCCGTCCCTTTACAGGGCCTTGAGCCCACCGTGTCCTCAGTTTCTCCTTTTAAAAGATGGAGGAATGAAGCTAGGCCTGCTGTCCTCCAGTCTCCTCCCGCCCTGGGGAGCAGGAATAGGGCTGGTGGATTTAGCGATAAAATACAGGACTGTAATTAAATTTGAATGAAAGATTAAAAAAAAATTTTTTTTTTTACCATAAGTGTTTCCAAGATAAAATAAAACATTGTTACTTGTCTGAAATTTAACGAGGTCTTCATTTTTTTGTGGTTGTTTTCTTCTGGCAACCCAGAGAGACAACAACATTGCTACACAGCCTATTTACTGTGTTTTCAGAATACTCCCAGAGCAGGAACTTGTTTAATCATTGTTCTAATGAAGCCTAAAGGAATATGCCTAAAGCTACTCAAGCTAGTAAGGAGGTTGGAAGACACAGTGACAGCCTGTTTCAGCTCTGCTGTTCCCATCAGCTGGACTCCTGTGGGCATTCCTCCTTGTTGAAATTAATTTAGTTAACAACAGCAAATTTATCTTCCAGATGACTGAGAGTTTTTCTAGTCAAACTCTCCATTATTCTCATTTACCTTATATTTTGAGGAAGGAATATCTGTATGATACTGTCAAGAAATACTGATTTTTAATATATGACAATGAAGGTATATTTTATAGTTTAATACACAAATAGTATGTAATTTGGGTTTGATATCAGTGGACAAAGTTATATTGTGTTACTGTATGTATATATATACAGATATGGTACATATACAATACATATACTACATATTTTGCAAGAGATCAATACAGCCCTGTAAGGATTAGGACAGGAGCATCTGTAGAGGTTAAGAGCTCAGATTCTAGAATGAGACACACCTGAGTTCAAAGCCTAGCTCTCCCCTTCTCAGTGCATCATACCAGTAAGCTGTGCAAAACATAGCCTCAACCCTCTCAATCCCACAGAACTCCAAAACCAGTATAGTTACTCCTTGGAGTGTCCTAACCAGACAGCCAGCAAAGTGGCCGTCAGCAGTCACTGTCTAAGGACTGCCCAGAGAATGTAAATTCTCACATGTTTCAGGTTTTACAAAACTGAAGAGTAGCTTTAGTAGAAAGTCTTCTTTGAGTCTTCTTTCCATTACTGTCCGTTCATGCACGTTTCAACTAAAACAGGACCTAAGTTTGCAAATATGGCTTGCAGAGCTGTCTCAACATACTAAGAAACCATAGCTTGCTTACCTTCAGGACAGGCAGTTTCCAAAACAATTGTACTACTATTTTTTTTTAAGATTTATTTATTTATGCATACAAGACCAGGGTACAGGCCAGAGGAGCAGGGGCAGTGAGAGGATTCACCATAGACAGAGCGGGGAGCAGAACAGACAGATCTACAAAGTACACTGCTGAAGGGAGCAGTGGTCAGGTCAGGAGAGTTCTGCCACGCCATGTGGGTCACCTCCGGGGCAGGCGGAGATTGAACTCATGCAGAAATGGCTTTAGCTTCTTGGTGCAGTGCTTTAAACCACTGTGCCACCAGGGGGGACCATATTTTTTAAAATTTAATGCAATTTTGCAACATGAAAACTGCAATGATTTGTAATAAGTTGGGAAACTCACTTGTAATACATCTATTACTCGCTTTTTCAAAGCTGTGAAATCTTACTACTTATTTCCTATGAAATAACACTTTTCTTAACAAAGCGATAGGCTTTATTAAGATCACAGCTTCAGTTTCTTTTTGGAAAGATGTGTCTTTTAAAAGTGAATGATGATCAGCAAGTACCTATCAGAAACAATCTTTCTTGAGCTGTAAATAGTTTGTTTCACTACTTACTTATCTTCTACACAGAAGAGTAATACAAGAAATGTTTGCTTTGGTTAATTAACTAGCTGGTTATCCCTAGGGAACTGAGGAGCCCCAATTTGAAAAGGCACAAAGTTTAATTAAAAATGAGACCCTTAGGAATGTAAAAGAGTGCCTTTTTCACCTCATCCTTGCCAACATTTGTTGTTAGTTTTTTGGGTATGTGCCATTCTCACAATGAGGTGGTATCTCATTGTGGTTTTGATTTGCATTTCCCTGATTATAAGGGTTATTGATGGAACATTTTTCATATGCCTGTTGGCCATTTGCAGTTCCTCTTTGGATAAATGTCTTTTAAGTTTTTCTGCATACTTCTTGACTGGGTTGTTTGCTGGTGGAGATGCAAATTGGTACAACCACAATGGAAAGCTGTATGGAGATTCCTTAGACTACTGAAAATGGAGCTACCATTCAATCCAGCAATTCCACTCCTAGGGATATATCCAAAGGACACAAAAACATTAATTCAAAAGAATATATGACTTCTTATGTTTACTTCAGCACTACTTACAATAGATAAATCCTGGAAACAATCCAAATATCCAAAACCAGATGATTTGTATATACAGTGGTATGTATATACAATGGAATACTACTCAGCAATCAAAAAAGAAACTCATGCCATTCCCAGCAATATGGATGGAGCTCAGTGAAATAAGTCAGAAGGAAAAAGAAAAATAGTGAATGGTTTCTCTTATAAGAAGAATTTAAGATAACCAGATAAGACATGGAGGGAAAAAAAGTGTATAGTTATTACAATACAAAAACAGCAAAACAAAACAGACAGTTATAAACCAGAGCTATCCTGCAGGGGAGGGGGACAGAGAGGGATGTGGGGGACTGTGGTGATGACAGGTGGGGAAGGGGGGAAGTAAACATTGATGCTACTGCCTTAATCCCTACCTTACAGTGATGTATTGATCTCTTGCAAAATATGTAGTATATATAGTATATGTACTGTATATGTGTATATACATGTATACACATATAGTATACAATATAATTTTGTCCACTGATCTCAAAGCCAAATTATGTACTGTTTGTGTATTGACATATAAAATATACCTTCATCATCATATATTAAATCAATACTTCTTGACAGTATCATACAGATATTCCTCCCTCAAACTATAACAATGTTTTATTAATAATTTAATATATTACTAACATGAACAATAATGTAAATAAAGATATAAATAAAATAAACAAGATCCTTAAAGGGATTTTATCTTAAAGAAATTTGACTAGTCTGCATTGTAAGCTTGGAATTGATTTTCTGTGTTATACAGCATAACAAAGCTATTTGTAATACAGATTTAAATTAAATATAAGCACTTGAACCTTTAGCAGTGTGCTTTGAAAGAACAATTTCGCTATTTCTTAAAATAGTTTCTGTAAAATAATTTTTATTTCAATGAAATAATTACTTCTATAAAATAGTGATTAAGATTAAACATTTGACTTTTAGATCGAAAAGGTACTTCTGGCCCTTGAGTACTAGTTGGAAGCATGCCTGCATTGCTGAATCGATGTTCAAAATGAAATGCAAACTAAGTGAATGCAAACTAAGTGAATGCAAACTGATGCAGCACATGATATTGGCATTTCAGAGAGAGCATGTGATATGTCAAAGAGAAGGTATCTTTGTAAGTATTGTCATAGTTTTCCTAGGCAATGACATTCCTAGTAAAGTGCAATGTCATCTCATTTTATCAAGGGTTGCGACTATGGTGTTGACCTTGATCACCAGGCCAACGTAGAACTTGTCGAGTTTCTCCACTGTGAAGTTCCTCATCCCCTTTCTCCTTCCATACTGGAGTCTTTAGAAGGATTCTCTTTGTATACCACATACATTTTGCTTTCCAACTTGTCTAAGATGCTTTTTTTGGATGAGCACTTAAAACAATTAAGGAGTTAAGGATCAAATCAGTGACATTTTCAAGGAATTAAATAACAAGTATTCAGCATGCTCATGACTTTTTGTAGCTAGCAGGTTGAATTAATTGCAACATAGCTGTGAAGTGCTATGTTGGCCTTTCTCTTCTGCTAAAAGCAACTGTTTCCTACAATCTCTGTCTAGCGTAATTCTGTAGTTAGACAGGGACGCTTGGTCTCAAACATTATTTCTCTGAGTATGAAACTTAACATCTGCCGAATTGATGTCTCATTTGTCATTTTTGATGTCTCAGTTTCTCATACTTTTGTAATGTATTATTTTCTATCTTTAGGCTAATCAATAGGCAGAATTTTTTTTTTTGCCCTCTTATTTAAGCCCCCTGCTAACATTGTAGAAAATACAATCATGTCTTAGTATTTTGTCTAAATATCATGTCTCAGTGAAGTCAGGTGTATGTGTTATTACCCCAGTCTGGTGGTGGAAGGCCAGGACTTTAACCCCTGGATCACAATGGGTATCCTGCCCCATAAAGCCACAAATGGAAATTTACAGATAGACTCTGAGATAAATAAGTGGAGAGAAGCAAATCTTTATTTAGAAAGTAAAGAAAATGTTTATTAGAGAAAAAAGGGTTAACAAAAAGGCACACAGGCAGTGATACCAAGAAGGGACAAAGACACCATCATGGGCCCATGTCTAGGGGATGTTTAACTTCATCTTCTCTATTACAAAATCTCATCATCCTCTTTGTGATTGCCTCTCTCCCACTGGCTGTGTCCGGCTTCACAGTTCTTATCTTAGCCTTTCTTTCACTGCCCTTGTCCAAGGCCTCTTAAAATTTAAAAGCTTTATTAACCCTTCTGGATTTCTCTGCCCTATGTCAGATGCCTCTTTAACTCTCTCAAAGTCCCTGCACTGTCCCTGAAGCTGTCTACTTAACCCAAACTTGCCCTCGCATTCATTAGAATTTATTTTTCCTTCCAGAGATATTTTTTATATGTAATATAATAGTTTATTTTTATATCATCTTGTGCCTTTTTCCATCTCAGTTGTAATTCTGTGGTCTTTCCATCACCAAATCACCCATGTGCCATCACCGTAGTCCAGTGCACTCCCCCATCCCCCTTTTTGATCCCATTCTCCACTCCACCCCTGTAAAATGTCTCTGGTATATAGTTGTTCATTTTTTTTTTTCTCCCCCTGGTCCTTTATGCTTCTGCTATGAGTGAATTTTTCTTTTTCTTTCTGGCTTATTTCACTAAGCATGATCCCTTCCAGTGCACTCATTATTTTATATATATATATTTTTCTGTAAAAAGTGCTCAATTCTTTTTTTTTTTAAGATTTAGTTGGCCCTCCCTGGTGGCACAGTGGGCTAAAGCACAGCACTAAGCCACTTCAGCATGAGTTCTATCCCCAGCTACCCCAGAGGTGACCCACATGGCACGGCAGACCTCTCCTGACCCGCCCACTGCTCCCCTCAGCAGTTACTTCATCGATCTGTCTGTTCTGCTCCCTACTCTGTCTCTGGTGAATCCTCAGACCCTCTGCGTCTCTGGCCTGTACCCCAGCTCTGTATGGATAAATAAATCTTTTTTAAAAATTCATACAGAACTAGGGTACAGGCCAGAGGTCTAGGAGCAGTAAGAGGATTCACCCTTGTGGATCACCTCAAGGTAGGAGATCGAACTCACTGAGACTGCAACCAGCTTACAGTGCTGCGTCCTAACCTATTGCGACACTGGGGAGGGCCCTCATTAGTATTTTTAGCAAAGCTAACTGAGCACAAGCAGAAAGACAGCTGTAACAGATAGTAGAAAAGCCAAGGTGAGGCACCTTAATCCAGGTACTTTGTTCTAAGATCTTCTATGATAATATCTGTATTTAATAAAGCAGAATTAATAAAGTGAACTTCTAAGGTACTTTCCATGGTAGTGGTGAGAATTAGAAATCAAATGGCCATTTTTGCAACTGGCGTGAATTAACATTTTCCTCTCTGAAATGCTATAGGGAACAAAATTGTATACTCTTCATGACATATGAAAATGTCCAGGACATAGACTATCGTCTTTTAGAATATGAGGCAAAGAAAGGGAAGACTTCTGAGAAAATACATCCCAGGAATTTCAGTTTGATATGGTAAGAGCTCTTGTCCCCTAATATTGCTCAGTGACACACTGTAAAGTGTAATGTCACCTTAATAACCTGATGCAGGATCTACTTACAATGTAGCTGTGAGGTGCTGCATTGCCTTTGCCTCCTGCTCAAAGCAAAATGGTTATCATTCCAGCCCTGTCGCTCCTGCAGCCATCAGGGATGCATGGTCTCATACACGTCTCCAGTTAAAACTCTGACTTGATGAATGATTCCTGGGAATTAAGACTTGCTAATATTTTGCAGGTGGTGTCAGAAAGAGACAGTATCCTGAGGGAATTTAGGTAAGGGATGAACCATATTTTGATTACTACTGACTTACTGGTATTTCAGGTCCTAATTTGATTATACTATTTATCTATCAAAAGTTAGTTTTGAGGGCAAGATTTTCTAATGGTCTTTGTCAGCTCAGGATATAATGGGGAATAAATACCACACTCTATGGTGAGCTATACTATTTACTTCATGACTTTATTGCTATTTTGTGACCTAGAAGAGTATAAAGAATAGTTGCTTTTTTAGTAAGAACATATACCATCATATATATATCTTGGGCTCATGGTTTTTATATACAACTAGTCTCTATCATTATAAATTATGATCTGCCTACTACTTGTGAAAACTATTTTTTTTTTTTTTTGGTTCAGTGTTTGTCATCTTTATTGAATTACTTGTTTTTATTCCAGTGAATAAGTTCATATATTGCTTTTCAAGTATGAATTTTGCCTTCCAGGCAACCTTGAAATCAGATAAATAAATAGGGAAAATAATCTCATCACCTACTAACATCAAGATGCTTTTAAATTGTACTTAAGAAAGTTCATGGTTGATCAGAACATAGTGGTAAGACAAATGTAAAATGAAGCCCACATTTTGAATTTTGTACAGTTTCTATTCAAAGGGGAAAAAATCAATATGCTGTTATCTCTAATTGACTTAGCTTATACATGAGTGTTCTGTTTTTAGCTATGTTGCTCATATCTTTTGCT